TTATACATAAATTGTAAATAGAGTTTCAAATAAATAAACTATAAATAAATTAAACTAACGTTACATTATGTGAAAAGGACAGCTGTAACGATCAGAGAATCAACATTGTATCACAACCATGCTTCATCATATTCGCTTAGCAATTAGTGCTGTTTTTTAAAGCTTCAAATGAGGAACCGAATTACCATACACTCCCGACATTGTTTTTTGTTTATCTTGTATTTTGTTTCCCATAATTTAGAATAAATTCGAGGGACGCTAAATTGGTGGTTTCCACCCATGTTCGTAGACTTACATACATTATAAAAAATAATGGAATACCGCATAATTTTTTGAAAAAGTCTTTAAGGCTGATATGTCAGATGTTTATATAATACTGTAATACAATTTAAACTATTGCAAAAGTGCACTAATTTATATTAGTTCTTTTCAGCAATATTAACAATTTATATTCATGTGGTTTCGACTGTTTTAAGTGATTTGTTGCTTCTAGTGATAAACAAAATCCAATGCCGTTTAAATGTGAAAAATAAAGGAAAAACAGGAAACTTAAATTGTAACTAATTTAAAACAGCGAAGAATCAAAATAGTGTCACAGAGTTTTAGGGTTGGGTAATCTGTCAATATTTATTTATTTTGTGTGATAATTTCGTAAAATTATTTGGAATATAAAAGCAAAATTTGCATAAAAATAGCGGAAACGAATGATGTTTTGTATAATGCAAAGAGGTGTCCAGAATCAAACCAAGATTTTTTGAACTTTCAAATAATGGTATAGGTGTATCATTTATGTTTAAGACAACAGAGCCTAGAATTCGTTTTCGCGGATTTTTTCTTCCAAAGAAGATAACTTGGGATATCGATGGGTTAAGACTGAGGCAAAAATGTCTGGCAGTATCCGCTACCCAGACAACACACCAAATCCCTAAGATATCCACAGAATATCTTTTGTGGATATCCAATATATCCACAGGATATCAGAAATATTCCGTGGATCTAATATGGATATCCAAATGTCCGTCTATATCCAGAATATAGAAGATATCCTATGGATATTCAGCAAAATATCTAATTAGTATCTTCCAGACAATACAAGAAATCCCAGAGATATCCACAGAATATATTTTGTGGATATCCAATATCCAAATTTGGATATCCAACCAAATGTCCGTCTATATCCCAGGATATAGAATTCAGATATTCAGCAAAATATTTTATAGGTATCTTTAGTAGACATTCATAAGTAACCAAATGAATGATAACGTCGAAAGAAAATAGAGATAAAAAATATTTCCAACAATCTGTCTTTGAGTTTGCCCACTAAGGAAAAAGTCATCCTTATTAGGACTCTTCAGCAATAAATGGAAATTCTCGACTCCAGTCTCTAATAGAGTCTTAATGCGAAAAAATGTTCGATCAACTCAATTATGGCGGGTTGAGCATGAGTAGATACGAAAGTGGTATCGCCATCTATACTTAGAAAGCAAAATCAAAAATTACATCTAGTAGTTATCCACGATGGTTTGCGTCCGCGCTAAGACTTTGATATATGTGGATGTCCATGGGATATTGAATACACCTTAAAAAAATTAATTTTAAATATCTGAACGGTACTATTAGCCACAATGGCGAGCACAATGGCGTAATTTTTTAATAATTTGCTATATAATTACTATTATTTATGGACATTTGCATGTCTATAAATTACATTTTATGGATATAAAATAGATATCCACCATGGACTGGACATTCAGTGGATATTGGGATGTTCAGTAGATATCCAAAGGATTTGGTGTGCTGTCTGGGTAATGATTGGAGATCCCTATTTAACTGTTTTACTGCTAATTGAGTATTATTTTCAGGGAAAAAAATATAAAGTTGAGTATCGTCGGCATGAAAATGGCTAATGGAATATCTCAGTGATTTGTAAAATTCAAAACTGTAGATATTGAAAAAGGTCGGTCCCAAGATAGAGCCCTGGGGAACATTATTCTCAACTGTCAAATATTGCGATACTATTTTGTCCACAACAACAGCTTGCTCCCTTCCCTGAAGATATCTGCTCAACAGCCCAACTGCATTATCAGAGAAACCAATGTAATGAAATATGGCTAGCAACAGTTCATGATTTATTTTATCAAAAGCTTTGGTAAAATCTAATAGTACAAGTACTGTTAATTCATTACGAGCAATTGCCCTAAGAATATCATCAGTAGTGTAACTATGTTTAGGTCTAAATCCTGATTGCTGTTGAGGTATGATAATATAATTATTAATGTGTGAAGAGCACATAATATACTTATAGGGCGAAGTGATTTATAATCTAACGATTTACCAAATTTGGGCAGTGGATGGATTAGAGATTTTTTCCAGGTAGACGGAAAAACATATATGTTTGAAGAATCTTAACCCAGCCTACTCAAACCCTGGTTTTTGAAGTGGTAATTTAATTAATTGACACATTCAAAGCATATAAACGGTAAGTTGATGACCTTTATTTGTAATTCTATCGATTTAATAACTTTTTTTTCAGGAAAAATTCTACTTCAGCGATTTGAGAAACTTAACCTTATTCCTGATTTTGAACATAATTTAATATTCACAAGATGAATCAATGCCTAGGTCCGTCCAGAAAATAAAATTTTGATCCACATGAAGAAAAATATATTTTTGTTTAAATTATAATCAAAGCTGAAAACTGTCTATTAAAAATGAAAGTGGAGAGGTCAGAAGAAATTATAAGAACTATGCCTCTGCATTTTTCTTATACACATATTTGTGAAAATTATATATTAAATATTCGAAAGTTGACTCTGTTCTGCAAGATAAATAAATAAAAAAAAATGTAAAGTAGTTTTATTATATAATAATATAAATTATCAAATATTTGTGTAGTAATAAATAATAATTTAGTATCTATTAAATTTAACTATTTGACAGTGCTTTTTCAGTAATAAAAAAAAGTATTGAAAACAGTCGATATGAATTTGTCAATTTAAAATGTATGTAAAATATTTAAATTAGGATCCCATTCAGCCTCTACGGATTATGGCCAAACAAAAAACAATATAAATCGCAACTCATGATGTACAGTCTGCCTTGGATCAAAAGCATTTTTAGCTTCATTAGGGCCTTCTCAGTTGCGCAAATATTGTAATGGCCATAATACAATAAGGTACCCATGTTGTGGCAAATCATTTGGTCTCTGGGACAAGTGCTACTGCTTTAAAATCCATTTTAAAAATTACCCTTTAAATAAGTTGTGTTAAGATTTCTCAAATCACGGAAAAATAATTCTTTTCCTGAAAAAAAGATTATGAAATTGATAGAATTACATGTGAAGGTTATCAACTTACTGTTTATATGCTTTGAATGTGTTAATTAATTAAATTATATCTACTTCAAAAACCAGGGTTTGAGTAAGCTGCGTTAAGGTTTGAGTAAGCTGCGTTAAAATTCTTCAAATCGAAGACAACTAAATATTTTCCTAAAAAGAAATCTGTTATTCTTATGGACATTAATGACAGTTGATAGTATGATTCCTTTGTTGGCATCCTGCATCCAGTGCTATGACCTTCCTCAACCTCTGACGCGCACCAAACACGCGTATTGAACTTGTGTCATTTAATTTTGAATATCAATAGGACTTCTTATTTCAATCTAAATTCTTTATTTACGATCCTAAAAAAAAAAATCCCACGCAGCGGAATAAAAATCTCTAGGCCTCTCATACAAAAGTAGATTTGAGTATTCTGAATAACAGATTTGGGTATATCGCAGACTATCAACAATCCTATATGCTATCCCAAAATGATTACATTTTTTCCGCACCCTTTATTTATCACCGACAGAAATTTCTAACAATTTTATTTGAAATAAAAAGAAATTTGTTATCTGATTTGAATCACATCTCGTTTCGTTTTATTTCTTAAGAGCAAACCGGACCTTTTGCGAAAAAAAATGTTTTGTGTATTTTCTAATATAAAATTGTATATAAATGCGAGCCACTGGGAATACTTTGCAATGTTATGTGTCTCGAGAATATTAGGAGCTTTAAATTTGTACAACGATAAGGCAGCACTATAACAGAGACAATTAAGAAAAAAAGGAGAAAACCCTCCTATTTAATAACTAATAATTTTCATAGATTTAATACGGAATGATCTTTGTTAAATTCCTTTTAAAAATCGGTACTTCCTTCAGTAATTTTATTTTATTTATATTAAGTTTGACCAGATATATAAAATTGTGTTATTTCCATCATTTCATCAAACGTTCTCACTAAGCGTCCAAAAAATATTTATTGCCGTCTGAGGTTTAATTTTCGCCGTTGTTATTTTTGGCAGCTATTATTTATCAGTCTTTTTCTTTTGCTCCTTGTTTCTATATAACTGCTTTCATAAATCTTCTTTCAGGTAAGTATCTCATGGGATTCCAACATTAGTGTATTTATTTGTATTAAAGCCTCAATGTTTGCTTTGAGCACAGCATTGCCCAATTTAATTCTTAATCTTTCGGTCTCTTTCGGTCCCTTTCCGTTAATCTCTCTGCCACAACATTGTAGCAGGCTTGCGAAACAGAAACAATAATGAATTTGAATCTAATTGAAGAGACAGTTACTAATGTACCGTTCAAAACCTCGTGATTGTCTCCTTTTTAGCGTTACGTCTCCAATTTAAAAAAAAAGAAATACTATTGAATCACTAGTTGTAGTAAGTAGTGGCCCAAATACAGGTGTTAACTGAAAAAGTAGATTTGTATCTTGGTAGGCAGTGATAGTCAGTTTTGAAAAGGCGGTAAACTGGAATCTGGGAGATGTGCTGTATTTTTAGATTTTCAAAACAATATAATATATTTCAAATAATAAAATACATAAAAGTTTGTCACAGTTTGGATTAGGGTTATTTTTTTATATGTAAACCGAAATTATTCATTGCTGTTTAATAATATTTTATAGTACAATTCGTCATTTAAAATTATCAAATAATTAACTTTCTTACCTATCTAAAACTGATAAAATTCCTGATACATATTGTTTACATTCACAGTACTAGTAGAAAGAAACGCACACAAAATGTTTTCAATAATTTGAATTATATTATAGTAGATACTCGCGAGGAACAATCTGAAAGTGATAAGTTAACAAACAAAAAATAATAAATCCCAAAAGGGACAAACAGAGGCCAGGAAGTTACGTCCTGATAAAACATGATTTCCCGTACATACATTTAAATATAGTAATAAAGGTCATGCTTTTGGGACATGGCTATTTATTTAAATTAATAGCAATGTGGGTTAAAACCTTGATATTTCTTTTTTTACCTAAAAAATGGAGCAGCATACTTAAAGATACCGTGAAACCATTACACTTTAGTAATGTAGTAAGTACTGTCGCACCATGCATTTGGGTAATAACTGATAACATTGGCGTAGCTAGGCAGGGGCTGGGGTGGGCAGAATACCCGATACCCCCTAGAAATGTACGATTTAAGGTACCTAATTAAATAAATAACAGACAAACAATAATACAGTCAAGACATCAAACGAATCCGTGAAAACACTGCAAATCTCACTGATTTGCAGTTATATTAGCTATTTTTCATTGCCAAATCGATCATTGATTTAGTTAGTCGTAAACTTGACACTGACATTCACACAATGAGTGATAGTCACTGATTAATTTTAAGACGGTATAGAAAGCTTTGATCATTTAGTTTGATTCTGTTTGAACCAAGGGCCTTAAAAGCTGTTTGGTTATCTGATAAAATGAATATGGTTTCTGTTCTGTACTTCCTTCTTAAATTCTCTCTTACATACAATTATATTGCATGTATTTTGTTTCCTTGTTAGTTTTAGATCCATCCGTATACCTTACGAGACCGCTAAGCAAGTATTTCTATGCCTCGTTATTTACCTTGTCCCAGTTGCAGTTGACCTGGAAGAGTCTGTTGAAGATTAGGCGGGGTGTCATATGATCTGATCCCATGTTCAATATAGGATCATTTACCTCATGTGTTTTTCTGGTATGTTCCATATGTTCCAGTAGGTTACAGTTCTTGAAGATGCCCAGCCTGTATGCACTCATTCTAGCCTTCTCCTTTATGACTAGGTCAAGGGGTAAGAGATGTACTTCTCAGTGCTCCTGTAATACAAATGCATGCCAGCCTCTGTACTCCAGAAAGGGTATTGAGGGCTGTTTTCTGGTTTACTTTTACTTTTTTGGCCACCAAACGACCGCTTCTTAAGTTATCATGGATTTTGTTATTACCGAATATAGCCAGTGGACCATTTTCGGTTTTAATCACCATGTTTTTCCAAATTCTCGTCTCCCTACAATGAAATACATTTTATATTTGTTGGTCACTTTTGTAAGTGTTGGTTTCAAGTAAGTTTGCTATCTGAAATTGGACCTAGATATTTTCCTTGGTTCATTCGTTGTAACCTTCCTCCAAACAGGGTCGGAGTTTCTAAGACCTCCAACCTTGTTTTCCTAGTAAAGGTTATGAGTTGTGCCTTGTTAGGGTTTACTAAGAGGTTTTCTCTAATGCAACCACATTTCTGTCAGTCTTAGAGCTCTTTGCATGAGTTCAAAGACTGGGTTTGGTGTTTCCACGGCGTATCCTCGGGCATCCCCTGTGGATATTCACCTCTATCATTTTACTAAATATTTGTGTCTGTACTTCTATCTTCTATCCACCAGCAGATGGCTCTATGCTATGTTTGCTGGCGGCAACTACCATTGATTTAAAGGAGGTATTATCAAAAGATCAAAAGCTGCCGGACATGCTGATCAATCAGTTTTTACAATCCTTTCAATAGAAATGACATCAGAGTTATTGGTATGCAGGCCTTTGCCAGAACATATGTTGTTTTAGAAATAAAAACCACTCTGCTTTGTTTCCAGGTATTTGGTACATGTTTAGGATCCAAACTTGTCATGTAGATTCTACAAATATGCAGGGCCAGTGATTCTATTGTCTGTTGCAGAAGCCAGATGGGATATTATCTGGCTCCGGTGATTTTTATGGGTTAAAGGTGCGTATTGCCCATGTGACTATCCGTTTTGCAGTTTCCCACTCTTGGCTGGATACTCTTTTTTAAGAGTTCTAGTTCGTGTGGGTTTGGTTTGCTGCATTTGAGTTTGTTGTACACGCAGGGAAATGAGTTTTCAGTAATTCTAATATTTCCATACCATTTTAGCGTATTATCCTGTTTGGATTTTTTTTGTCATAGTATTCTAATATATTCTGTGGGTACCTGATTCAAGTTATTATTATATACTATAAGTTTGATTTAACTTAAAATGAAAATATGATTGTGAACTTTAAAATATTGTTTTTTATTATTTCTGTCAAGGTTTCGATTGTGTTGACCAGCTGACCCTCCCCCAGGCCCGCTCAGAGGTTTTGCTAGCTACGCCAATGACTGATAATCAAACAGTAGGTCAGTTAATGATTGTAAGGGCAAAATTAGACGGATTTAGTGTGAAACGCAGATATGTACTTTATCTACCTATAAATAGATTGACATTGCTAATGCTCTAATAATACATGTATATTATTATTGTAATTATTGGAGAAAATTGCTACATCATTATAAAATAATTTATGTTACAGGAACATGTAATTAGGGCAACCTGTATGTTTCTGATAAATAAATGAATACCAAGGCCTATGAATTTTTACCTAATCTTTAAAACTAAAAATGTAAATAAATTGTTGGCCCAATATACTATAAAAATATATTTTATATACAGGGTGAGTCATAAATATTGGGTCATAGATTAAGTGAAGGTTAAAATATGAGAATTAGACCAAATATTCCTTAATAGATTGTGGGAAAGAATAATATTTGAAAAAAAAATTGTTTTTTCAGTAATAATTTCATAATTTTTTACCACACAGAGGAATAACGTTTAATTTTAGGCAAGGAATATTATTGATTTTTTTACATTTGTAATAGAAAACATTTTTCTTCTTGGCAGCCTTGGTTTGGTCAACATACCTTCCCCCATACAAGTTTAACTTCAGGGTTTCCCCAATCAGTACTATCAGCATGGATTTCTCTTTCCTTTAATTTTAATTGTAATTGAAGATTTTCTATCAAAAACACATGTTCAAAAATGCCCGAATTGAGTTAACTATGGCAATTAGTAGCCAAGTGTTGTATTTACCGGCAAAAACGTTGATTTTCTACAAAAGTTACACAGAAACAGAGATATTCACTGTTAAATGTAGAGCATTTCTGCAAAGTCTAATGACACTAGTATAATGTTTTTTGTTTTTCCTAAAAAAAGCTAATTTTGGACATGTGTCGTTTTTGTAATTTTATTTTTTTATTGTAACTTTTAATATTTTTTTGTTTTTGTTTTTAGTTTTTTTTAACTATATACAAATACAATGTTTCACAAAGCAAAATTTTGTAATGTCTAGCATCTAGCATTTATATAATATATAAAAAATGCGACATATCGAAGCCATAGTCCGTGCTAGCTGTGATATGTAATTAACTGCAGTTATTGAGCTGTTATAGACAGTGTCTCCCCAGTGATGATCCAAAAAGGTAATAACCGCAGTTGGTACTGTTATAAATATGGTCATATATTTACTAAAAATCTCTTAAACACGTCGACGAATACTAGGAAAACGCAAATGTTTAATTTCTTCTTCCTCTATCAAAAATAATCGATAACAGAAAACATGATTTCTTTTTAGTTTTTTGAGATTATTTTTCGATGTACGCTCATCATGCAAAGCCCAGTCATCCTATTTTCATTCATTATTCGCTCTGTGCGTGACAGCAGCGCCAACTAATTTATGAACTAACAGACGATATTTGCGTATACTGACGATACATTTTTTAAAAGAATTCGTAATATATATGTTGATTTTAATAAAAGTAAAACAAGTGAAAAAATTAATTATTGTTATATATTTTTATTACTTCAGCTAAAAAAGTAGTATAATCAATAAAAATCAATAATAAAACATAGGCAGGCAACAATATTTACGAGAAAATGTATGATATGTTGCCTAAGCCTAATAAGTTGTCATTGAAGAATAGGTTAAATAATTTAAAAATAAAAACATTACCATTATATAATAATAATAACGTATTAACAAAAACAATTGGTATATTTGCGATTGTAATTTATATATTCTTCATTTTTAGTTTGGAAGAACCCATAGAAATTAATGATTAAAATTGGTTTCCTATCAATAAGTCACACGATTGCATTTCAGCCACATACAATAATTAAAGGCAGAAATCTAATCGTCGCTGAACATTTAAGAGTTAAGGGATGTTGAACAACATTGTAAAATAATAATTTATTGTTTATTTAAAATCTTTCAATTATTACAAGTATTACTGTTCTGTTATTATTACAAAAATAGTTCTTAAATACTTAATTTAGTACTAAAAATTGGTATCTTTGCAAAAGGAAAAGAATATTTTCAGTTCTAAATTTAGTACTAAATTAATAACTTAATTTAGGGATAAATTTTAATACCTAATTTAGTATCGTGACATACAGCTAATACGCGTTGTAAAGTCGTAAAAACCAGGGGGGGCAACTGCCCCTCCCCTCCCCCCAAACGACGCCCATGAATACATACATTTATTTAATATGGTTGTCTTGACAAATTTCAACTATATAGGTATCTATTTTCAGTTACTTAGGTACATGCAATTCTTTTGTTATTGATGCGGCATTCTTTTAATATTTTATGTATAATGGTAACTGAACTTTGACTACTATTAAGTTCATATATTTACATCCGAGACGATATTTTATGAAATTAGTATATTTATTTCATTATTTGTTATACTCTTCACACAGTATTAGGTTTACTTTGTCCGTCCGATGTCACGTTTTTTGTGCCACGATAAGTCAAAAACGAAATATGATATCAGCTTGAAAATTTCAAGAAAAATCAAGGGGACAACGAAAAATAATATCAACTTGAAAGTTTCAGAAAAAGTCAAGCTCTACACGAGGACGAAGCCTATTGATTTTGAAAAAAATCTGACTAAGAATGGGGAGTTCATTGGGATTGAAATATTAAATAAAATCCTAACTCAAAAACGAAAAATGAA